TACATCGAGTTGTGAATAGATTGAAAAGTCAGAAAATTTCCTGGATTTTACGCTAATTTTACAAACAGACATATTCGATAAAATCGTCATTTGCGTGACAGCTTTTGCTATGTAAAGAAAATATGCAAAATACGAGCCAACAGAACAAAAAGTCATTAAATACATTGAAAGTAGACAAGAAAAAGGCTGTTAGTGAAACAGTGATTTTCACACTTTTTCACCGTTTTCTTTTGAATCACTGTCAAATTCAATCAAAATTACAAAGATTTTTTCACTGGTACAACAAATAAACTTTTGAGCGTATCGATTGGGTGGAAGAACTGACGAATCCTGGCTGGACCAAGCCACCAGCCTTTCACAAGGAACCCCCAGTACAGCCAAGGTAGAAGATAACGTTTCACCAGATAACCAACGTAAAGAGGCTTCCCCTGGTCAATCGGCAACGTCTCCAGTGGACCAGCCGAATTGAACTCCGCCAAAATAACACGATTCATTGAAACGAGCAGTGGGCAAGATGCGTAACCGTCATACTGCAAAAAAATCATTTGACAGCAACTTGAAATCGTTTCAGCCGCAGTGATTGCTTTGTAGCTGGTACAGCTGATAAATTGAAAATTTTACAGCATTAAACCCGAGCTGCGACGCACCAGGCTTGCTAGTGCAATCATGCATTTTTGCTCTAAATTTAAGGCAGTCTGATCATTAACAACGAAAACCATTCCTTCGTTACAATTTAACTCGTGGACTCATGTCGGGTTTGTTTTGGCCTTTTCTTGCGTGCAGGAGGAAAAGAGCGTCGGCTGGAATAACACTGGTGCATTATGGGACCGTATGAACCTTCAGTTCGCTTGATCATCAATTTTGCATAAAGAGAATTAACAGTTTCTGGTGACTGGTCGTTCGTCGGAAAATACAAATTTGATAATGTCGGAAGAAAATAATTAGGAAGACAGCAAAATACAGTCGTTTTTTAAGTTGCGATAAAACTGAGTGTTTACACGCTTTTAAAGAGAACTTAGCTTTTAAACTTAATTTAGACCATTACTAAATATAGCACATCTCTGCAAAATTACAGCTTCACAGCTTGTACGGCAACGAAAATGGCACCTTCCTGCAGATGTCTTTGATGTGCTTTAAGGCTTGACGTAAGTGCAAAACAAAACTCGAATTAGGCACACGATTTCCTTGATGGGCGATAAATATTCTGGCAAAATTACAGCTGTTGTTTTCCTGCTAGTTTACGAGTTGGTACAGCGCCAAGTGCGAACTTTTACATGACCATGCATGCATTGTAAGCGTGCGCGATAACGAAATTTGAAATTTTTAGCTGCAGTCTACCACTGCAAAACTGCAGCCTTCTATTTTGCTTGGTTCGCGAAATGGTTCTTCGCCGAAAAATTTACATCTTTTTTTCCCAGCCGGCACTCCCTAGTCAAAATAAGTTTTTGCACTTGCATAATTGCGCAAAACGCATAAAAGGCACGATCCCATGCCAGTCCTACTCAAAAAACTGAAAAATAAAAACTGACCGCATGTCGTTTCAACTTTCCTTTCATTGCTGCTGGAATATTTACAGAGAGTGCCCGCAACTGGCTGGCTGAAATGTGAATTTGGAAAGCTTTTATTTCAGTATTTATTGCAAAAGCTAAATTACAAAAAACTGTTTCAGCATAAAGCATAAATTATATGATATTTGGTGCAAATTTTTCAGTAAAGTCCTTTATTGTTATAAATTTTCAGTAAAATCTTCTAAAAGGATCTCCAAAATTTCTAAATGATTAGTCCGCATTAAGACTCCTGTGAGTCAATAGAAATGGAATTTGGCAAAAATGTACCGCCATTAGGCCCAAGTTTTCTTGCTGCACATACATACCAGACAAGCTTCATATTAATTTATTTAATTTTGAAGATTTTTAAGTCACGAAAAGAACATACAAACTGCTGCAGCAGTTTTTGCGTTTGGAGTGTTTAGACAGTCGCCAATCCCAAAAACATTTTCGAACCGTTTGCTGACCAGCAAATCCGGATCCACATCCAGCCAGCCTTTCTCATCGGTTAAATCTTTGCACTTCCGGAGAGGCTCGACCGGTGAACATGGTGGTGCCACGTGGATCAAATCGTACTAAAATATCGTTCATAACTTTGTTTCTTGTTATCTGTTGCAATGCGGAACTAGTTTACAAGTTTCGCCCATTCAAAAATAGTGGAAAAAATATTATCCTCCAATGTGATTTTACATTTTAGGTAAACGTTATGATGTTAGGAGAGAATCAATTAGTACAAGGCCGAAAGGATTTCACTAAAACGCGGCACTTCCACATATTTTTGAAAAAGCATATTGGCAATTGCCTTATCAACTGTTTTTTCAGCACTGGCTTTGCTCAGCTGCAGTTCGTAACATCGTTCTCCAGCTATGAAGTTTTCGCCTTAACCAGCGCTGCCTTGGTACTCGTCTTGCTAACGATCCAGACGCTCGTTTCATTTCTTGAAAGGATTATCAACTCAGTGGTTCTTCTGTCTAAAGCAATTGGCGAAGCTTCAGCTATTTCGTGAAGTCACTGTTGTTTATTGAGTATGTCCGCCTAGGCTGGAATGCTGCAGTTCTAAATTAACTTAAGGGTAAAGTACCTCAGTGGCGAAAAACCGCGAAAAGCCGGCCAAGAAGCCACAACAAAGAAAAAGATAGAAAATGCATCTATCGCGAACGGAGCCTTCTTTCGAAAATCATTCTGAACTAGGAGGGAATCGAACCACCCCTCTTCACGTCCAGACGCAACGTGTTACCAATACACCACTGATAGAGAACAATTTTTGAGAAGGGGCTCCGTTCGCGACAACCTCGGCAGCTAGGACGTTTCTTCAATAACGTGATAATTTCAACAGATGTTTAATATATTGATATTTTGTCGCCAATCAGGAGGAAACTGATAAACACACGATTTGAAATAATGATTAAAAGAGAATGCTGTTTTCACCTTTCTTCCTCGATTTTCTTGTTACGCTTTTGGTGCATAAATACAAACAGATTCATTTCAAAGCTTCAAATTTGTAGAAAATAAAATGAGCTTACATGAAAATCGACCGTTTTGCCGGTGGGTTTGGCTGTATCATCGAGAAGCTCGAAGCTAGCAGTTTGCGTCAGCGGATCCACTTTGATCAAATTATGCCTCGTATTGAGTTCTATATTCCTGTCCTGTATAACTTTCATCAGTCCCTTCGCGTACTTCTCCACGCCAAATATCCGTCCCAGTGATGTGTTATACATCATCCTAGTCCGATCACGCACGCCACTCTGCAATGTAGCAGCGAACTCTCAAACATCGCCATCAATTGTGCTGCAAATGTTCATATCAGCTGCGGGAGAAAATGTGCCGGGATAAACGGATTTGGCATAGCTCTGTTGGCCCCTGGCTGTATATTAAAGTCAATGACGGTAGGATTCCACACTGATGTTCCTGGCAAGTTTTTTTTAAATCCTTAATATGTTTTGGGCTGTCAGTGGAAGGAACTTGATGCTAATGAGCAAGTTGACAACTTATGAACAAAAGTCCTGCATCTATTTCCTTCGTTCTCGTCTCCTTCATACCTTGGACAGCGGGGAAAAGATGGTTCAAAGGCTGCTATGAAAAAAAAGACCTTCCGGAAGAAATCATCAGAGAGATAACAAATTTTCTGCGGTGCCCCGGCACACTTGATCGGCGTGTTCGGGAATGTGTAGATGGCAGTGCCGCCACGGAATGAGTTCAATTCACGATTCATTTTCATGGTCAGTTCTGCAGTGTATACACTGTTCACTCGATCGCACTTGAATGCTTCCGGCAACCCTTCAATCTGAAAGAACTCATGAAGAATGAACTAGTGCAGTTACATGCGCTAATCTCTAATTCTTTCCGAAAAGAAGGTGCTTTGTATGACTGCCGTAAAATTGAAGGCTTTCGTTGAATTACTGGCTAAAGCTCAGTTGGCTTGGCTTTTGGCGACGCTTGTCAAAAACCTAAACGCCACTAGCATAAAAAGTTTGTTGCTTGTTTTGCATACATGCAAATGCAAAAAAGTTTTTTGGGGGAAAATCGCTAAGTTGGTAACCAGAAAAGCTGGAAAGCTGAAATTACAAGGAGATGTCCTCTGCCCACGTAGAACCCAAAGATTTCAAATTCAGCCCTCAGTTGTGCGTGGTTCTCAAGTACAGTTCCGTGAAAATCTCTGACAGGAAGAATCGCTAACGCGGCAACCAGAAAAACTGAAAGGCTGAAATTTTAAGAAGGAGCTTACAGACCACGTACGACTTAAAGATTTCAAATTCAGCCCTCAGTTGTACGTAGTTCTCAAGCACAATCCCGTGAAAATTCTTGACGGAAAGAATTGTTAACTCGAGAGCCAAACAAACTGGAAGGCTGAAATTTTAATGGTAGTTGCACAATTAACTTCTTGAACTTCCAGCACCACTATATCACAAATTCTAGCTACTGGGATTCCAAGCTATCTTACTACAGCACGAAATACTGCAAAAACGCATGATTGCATGAATCTGCCTGATGTGACTTTTTTTTATACATTTTACGTTTTTTCACTCATGCGCACTTAACTTTGAGGAAAAAAGGATTTTCTTTGTTTTGAAAAGTGATGTTTTTTGCTTAAATGATCCCTCTCACTGAGTAATCGTACTGTCCAGAATCGCAGATAGTGCCGTAACCGCTGCCACTTACTTATTCTTTGCTGCCCACTTATTATATGTTTAATCATGAAAAGCTTACCAATTCGTAACGCAACTGTAATCCTGCTGCTACTATTAAGAATTCGTAAGTCACTTCACGGCCATCGCTGAAAACACAGGTTTTTGAAATTCTTAAAAAATGCCAAAGGCTTGCACTGGACTGCACGATAGGGATCATTTGTTCTGCACTAATTATTGTTTTTTTAGCACAAAGGTTAAATTACCCAAATTTGAGCTGCATAAACAATGAAGCTACTTCAAAAGCACTTTTTGAGTTCAAAGGAGATATCAATTGAGTTGCGGAAAGGCAAGCCACAGTGAAACAAAAGAGGAACAAAGCAGGAAGAAAAAAAAACAAAGCTTACCAGATAATATGTTAGCTTTGTTCTAACTTTTTCCGCCGTCTTGACTAATCAAAATCCAAAAGTGTATATTTAAAATTAATTTCGTGACCCCGACTTTTAGTAAACTAACGACGAAGATGTGAATTCTGGATAGTAATTGAGTATGAAAAAATTACAACAAATTTGAAAAGAAACAAACTTTAAGACAATGGAGTTCTGTTTGGGATGAAGCTCAGCAACGCTATTTCTCAGCCAAATAGCTTTTTTGTTGAAAAGTGGTCCGCTTGGCCGAATACACGTGGACATCTCCTTCAATCCTGAAGCCACCAGCGTGTAACCTCCTTGGAAGAAATGATACTGAAATTCGAGATCGGTATTTGAATCACTGTTGTGAAAAATATCTTTAAACAGTTCAGGCTAATCCACAGTAGATGCTGTTTTCAAAACGAAAAGCAGCAAGTCCTGCAAAATTCGAGCATTTTCGACAAAATTTGCTCTGAAAATTTCTGGAATTAGAAATGATGGAAGAAATGCAATGCGATTTTGAAGCCAATACTGATCTCACTGAAAGCTAATAGTGCCAAAATAAACGAATTTCCCTTATGCAGAAAAGCATCATGAAAATCCCTTAAAAAATTTGTTTTCCTAGAATCGTGAAAAACAGTTGCAGCTCAGCTTATGCAAGATGATAAACAGAAATACACTTACATCACTTGGTTCGATAACCGCCATTTGGCCTTGCTTGACATATCGAGCCAGACGATGTGATAATCCACAGCCACCAGCACCACCGCCCATTATCACAACGCGATAGTGAGCTGATGCTACAGTTAAAGAACTCATTGGGCTGCAGCAATTTAAGAAAACGGCGACACACTAGGCTTGCCGTTGCGAGCATGCATTTTTGCACCAAACATGAAGCAGTTGGATCACTAACAGAGTGAATATTTGCTGTTTTACAGTTTAACACAGGACTCATGTTGGCTGTGTTACACTTTAACACATTTTGGTATTTCCCTGCATGAAGAGAGAGAAGGGCGTAGCTGAGGCGGTACTGTTGCATCACAGGGCCGCATGAAATCTTAGCCTCCAACACGTATGATTACCGTAAATTTATCCGGTGAGCGGTCGTTCATCGAATAATGCGAATTTCACAATAAAAGAAATCGACCCTAGATCAGAAACAAGAAGCAATCAGATCGTTAAAAGAGTGGATAGTTGCTGCGTTACAGTTTAATCTGCTATTTAAGTTTGCCCTAGGTCACGTGGTTAGCAGCAATCTCCACTGATACCAGGGTGGAGTTACTCGTCAAATTATAGTTTTTCAACTTACGCTATCGTTCTTTTCGAGCAGTATACTTTCACTTCATCATCACTGAGTGATCAAGTGCTATGTATCGACCATTCAAGAGCGATGGTTTTCCTAGCTTATAAGAAATTTCATACTTACAAAACACTATGATTTAACCCTCCAAGCTCACCCAGGATGAAAATTTCACTACATACTAGTCACAGACAATATGTGTTGCAGAAGACCAATAATTTTACTGTGGTATCAAATGCGAACCCGCACGGACCGCTGCAAAACGCATCCTTGATGTGTTTTAGCTCTGCAAACGAGTGTCGGCACCGAATCCTTTTCACTTCTTCGAGCACTTCGCCAGCTGTAACAAAAAGAATGAAATTTCGTAGGCCCTCGCACGGAGCGAATGACACGATGGTTACTGAATTAACGCACAATTACTGAAACCGAACTGCACAAATCCAGCGGTTTTTCATGGAAACACAAATTCGCCCGGATCAGACGCAGCATTGCTGGATTTAGTTAGAAAATGCAAATTTTGAGAAAGCATGTTTTGGCTGCACGTGTATCTGTATGTATGCATTTATGTATATATGTGTGCACGTATGTATGTGTATGTGTGCACGTACGTATATGTATTTGTGTAGGTGTGTATCCATATATGCCCGTGAGTATTTGTGCGTGTTTGCTTGAGTTGAATCTGTGTGTGCAGCTGTATTTGCGTTTATAAA